CTACAAGTTCAGTGTTTTTAGATTCCATATGTAAGTGAGATCATACAGCATTTGTCTTTTTCTGGCTTATTTCGCTTAGCATAATGCCCTCAAGGTTTATCCATGTCACAAATGGCAGGATTTCTTTCTTTTTAATGGCTGAATAATACTTCATTGTATATATATATACACCACATTTTCTTTATCCATTCAACCATTGATGGACACTTAGGTTGTTTCCATGTCTTGGCTATTGTGAAATATGTTGTAGTGAACATGGGAGCACAGATATCTCTTTGAGATAGTGATTTCATCTTCTTCAGATATATGCCCGGAAGTGGGATTTCTGGATCGCATGGTAATTGTATTTTTAATTTTTTTGAGGAATCGTCATACTGTTTTCCATAGTGACTGCACCAATTTACATTCCTACCAATAGTGCACAAGGGTTCCCTTTTCTCTACATCCTTACCAGCATTTGTTATTTCTTGTTTTTTTTTTCATAATAGCCATTCTAACATGTGTGAAGTGATACCTGATTGTGGTTTTGATTTGCATTCCCTGATGATGAGTGATTTGAACACCTTTCCATGTACTTGTTGGCCATTTGCATGTCTTCTTTGGAAAAATGTTTATTCAAGTTCTCTGCCCATTTTTAAATAGGATTTTTTGTGTTTTTGCTATTGAGTTGTATGAGTTCCTTATATATTTTGAATATGAACCCTTTATCAGATATGTGATTTGCAAATATTTTTTCCTCTTCTGTAGGTTGCCTTTTCATTTCATTGATTGCTTCTTTTGCTGTGCAGAAGCTTTTTAGTTTGATGTAGTCCCACTTGTTGATTTTTACTTCTGTTGCTTGTTGTTTTGGTGTCATATCCAAAAAAGGCATTGCCAAGACCAAAGTCAAGGAGCTTTTCTCCTCTCCTCTGTTTTCTTCTAGGAATGTTATAGTTTCAGGCCTTAAGTCCTTACTTCATTTCAAGGTAATGTTTGTGAGTGGTGTAAGATAAGGGTCAAATTTCATCCTTTTGAATGTGGATATCCAGTTTTCCCAGCACTACTTATTGAAAAGACTGCCCTTTCCCCATTATGTGTTCTTGGCTCCACTGCCAAATATCAGTTGACCATACATGTGTGAGTTTATTTCTGTGCTCGTGATTCTGCTCCATGGCCTATTATATGTCTTTTTTTTATACCAGTACCATATTGTTTTGAAATCAGGAAGTGTGATGCTACCAGCTTTGTTCTTTCTCATCATTGCTTTGGCTTTTGGGGGTCTTTTGTGGTTCCATATGAATTTTAGGATTTTTTTTTCTATTTCTGTGAATAAATGCCATTGTAATTTTGATACGGATTGCATTGAATCTATAGATGGCTTTCAGTAGTATGGACATTTTAATGATATTAACTCTTCCAATCCATGAACATGGGGTATTTTTCCATTTATTTGTGTCTTCTTCAGTTTCTTTCATCAGAATCTTATAGTTTTTAGTATATAGATATTTCACTTCCTTGGTTAAATTTATTCCTAAGTATTTTATTGTTTCTCATACTATTTTAAATGGAATTATTTCTAGAATTTCTTTTTCAGATGGTTCATTGTTACTGTATAGAAATGCAACTTATTTTTGTATGTTGATTTTGTATCTTGAAACTTTACTGAATTCATTTATTGGGTCTAACAGTTTTTTTGGGTGGAGTCTTTAGGATTTTCTATACACAAGATCGTGTTATCAGCGAACAGAGGCAACCATACTTCTTCCTTTCTGATTTGATGCCTTTTTTTTTTCTTATTCTTGCCTGATTGCTCTTGCTGGGGCTTCCATTACTATGTGGAATAAGAGTGGTGAGGCTGGGCACCCTTGTCTTGTTTCTGATTTTAGAGGGAAAGCTTTCAGCCTTTCACCTTTGAGTGTGTTAGCTGTGGGTGTGTCATATACGGCCTTTATTATGTTGAGATATGTTCCTTCCGTACCCAATTTGTTGAGAGTTTTTATTACGAAGGGATGTTGAATTGTGTCAGATGTCTTTTCTACATATATTGAAATGATCATATGATTTTTATCCTTTATTTTGTTAATATGGTGTATCCCATTGATTTATTTGCATATGTTGAACCATTTTTATATCCCAGGGATAAATGTCCCTTGATTGTGGTGTATGATCCTTTTAATGTGCTGTTGAATTTGGTTTGCTAGTATTCTGTTGAGGTTTTTGCATCCAAATTTATGAGGGTATTGGCCTGGGTTTTTTTTTTTTTTTTTCCTTATAGTATCTTTACCTGGCTTTGATAATCAGGGTAATGCTGACCTCATAAAATGAGTGTGGGAGTGTTATGTCCTCTTTGGGTTTTTGTTGTTGGTGTTGTTTTGGTGTTTTGTTTTTCTTTTTTTTGGGCAGAGTTTGAGAAGAATTGGCATTAATTCTTTATTTTTTATTATTATTGTTTTTTGCCATTTTACTGTTTTATTAACACAAACAAAACGTGCACACGAGCTGTCTATTCATTTTCTTTGCTGCGCATTCTGGCGTTGGGCTTGGTGACTCTGATGGCCAGCTGGGCTGCTCTCTCCACAGTGGCTTTGAGGTTCTTGGAGGAGACGTTGTGCACAATCTCAGCACAGTAAGATTTATTGCACATCAGCAGTTGGTAAAGTTCACCCATAAAGCCATACTGTCCTGAGCTTTTATTTGTTGGAGGTTTTTGATTACTGATTTAATCTTAAATTTGTTATTGGTCTGTTCAGATTGTCTGTTTCTTCATGATTCAGATGTGAAGGTTGTACATTTCTAGGAATTTATCTATTTCTTCTGGGTTGTCTGATTAGTGACCTGTAATTGTTCACAGTAGTCTCTTATGATATTTATTTCTGTGGTATCAGTTGTAATGTCTCCTCTTGCTTTATAATTTTGTTTGAGTTCTCTCTTTGTCTTGGAAGTCTAGCTAAACGTCTGTTGTTTTTATTTTATCTTTTCAAAAACAACCCTTATTTTCATTGATCTTTTCTACTGTTTTTCTATTTCATTTATTTCTGCTCTGATTTTTATGTCCTTCCTTCTGCTAACTTTGGGCTTAGTTCTTATATTTTAGTTTTTTGAGATGTCAAGTTAGGTTTTTTTAAGAGTTATTTATTATTTATTTATTTTTGGCTGTGTTGGGTCTTAGTTGTGGCATGCGGGATCTTCGTTGAGGCATGCAGGATCTTTCATTGTGGCACGTGGGCTCTTCGCTGTGGCCCGCGGCCTTCTCTTTAGTTGTGGTGTGCAGGTTTTCTCTTCTCTAGTTGTGGCACACAGGCTCTAGGGTGCGTGGGCTCTGTAGTTGTGGCGTGTGGGTTCCAGAATGCTTGGGCTCTGTAGTTTGCAGCACACAGGCTCTCTAGTTGAGGCACGCAAGCTCAGCAGTGTGGTGCGTGGGCTAGTTGCCCCGTGGCATGTGGGATCTTAGTTCCCTGACCAGGGATCTAACCCACGTCCCCTGCATTGAAAGGCAGATTCTTTACCACTGGACCACCAGGGAAGTCCCAAGTTCGGGTTGTTTACTTGAGATCATCCTTTTTTCTTAGTGCAGACATTTATTGCTATAAACTTCCCTTTTAACACTACTTTTGCTGGATCATAAGCTTTGGTATGTTGTGTTCCCATTTTTGTTTGTTTCAAGGTATATGTTTTTAATTTCCCTTTTGATTTCATCTTTGACTCATTGATTGTTCATGAGTGTTTGTTTAATTTCTATATGTTTGTGAATTTTCCAGTTTTCCTCTTGTTATTGATGTCTGGTTTCATACCATTGTGGTCAGAAAAAGATACTTGGTATGCTTTCAATTTTTAAAAATTTGCTAGGACTTGTTTTGTGACCTAATATATAATCTATCCTGGAAAATGTTCCGTATGTGCTTGACAATAATGTGTATTCTGGTGCTGTTGGGTGGAATGTTCTTTATATGTCTCTTAGGTCCATTTGGCCTCAAGTATAGTTCATATCCAATGTTTTCTTATTGATCTTCTGTCTGGATGATCTATCCATTGTTGAAAGTAGAATATTAAAATCCCCTACTATTACTGTAATGCTATCACTCCCTTGAGATCTCTTAGCATTTACTTAATATATTTAGGTACTCAGATGTCTTTGCTTCCAGTCATCTGCCTTCCTGGATCCATAGCTCAGTGGAAGGAGATGAAGGACTGACTGGGCGCGAGAGATGAGCCCCCTGGGTTTTTTTCCTCAGTTAAGGGAGACAAGAAAGAGAATGAGTGGGGAATGTGCAGCATTTGAACAGATGACAGCCACCCCTTTTACAGAAAAATGAAAGGATAATTTAACCTTGATCATCACTAGCAGGGAAGCAAAATGGCCGTAAAATACTAGCATCTAGTAATTTACTGTCATAATCCTAACTCCTCCTCGAGGAGTTTCCTGTTTCTTAAATTGCAGTGATAGCTCTGAAATTAAAACGAATATTAGTTTTACAAGCTTATTTTAACCATTTCCTAGCAGTAGTAATTGCTTTTGTCTTCGTGGGAGGGCTGAGACTTTAACCACCATCCAGGCCAAGGGTTATAAAATTGCTGATCTGTGTGGCTAGTTGATGAGGAAATCTCAATTACCTGACGTTTGGTACTGGAGAAGTGGAAGCAAATACATCTTGTTGGTGATTTCACATGTCTGAGGCTCCAGGTGGTGGGTATGTGGACTTTAGTAGTAGTAATCACTTTTGGACGAGAGAAAAACAAAAATCCCGTGTAGAAATGGGGAACTTCCAGCATTGCTAGGTAGAATATTTTAAGATTGGGGCTAATGAACTGCTTTTCAACCTGAAGTCTTCAGGAACAGGCAGTCTCCTGCTTCTGCAAATACCAAATGAAAAGCCAAGCCAGTATTCTTGGATTTATAGATGCAGTTTACCAGACTGAAGGACACTTGCTCTTTGTAACTAACTGAACTAGCTGGCCCCTGCATGCTGAGTTTCTATGGCAATATGATCTCAGTGACCTATCTTCTCTATTGTGGAATGTAGGTGATAAGAATGGAGGTGAGCCCGATGATGCTGAACTGGTAAGGCTCAGTAAGAGGCTCGTGGAGAATGCGGTGCTCAAGGCTGTCCAGCAGTATCTGGAAGAAACACAGAACAAAAACAAGCCAGGGGATGGGAGCTCTGTGAAAACTGAAGAGGCTGATAGGAATGGCACTGACAGTGACAACAACAGGAAATGAGACCCGAAGGCAGGCAGGCCCCCGCCACGCCGTGAGAAGCATCCCCGCTCCCCTCTGCCGAGTCAATGGACTAAATTGCATTTTGTGCTATTTAAGTGTCTCTTGTCCAATCTGTGGAGACTGCCTGATACTTTTATGATCGATGTGTTTGCATTCCTGAAACGCAGCAGAAGAGCAATGGAGTGCTGGGACTATCAGAGGAAATTAATTCATGAAGGAAGAATGGCCCAGGTTTTACTTGCCCTCAGCCGAGGCTGTGGGAGAGAGTATTTTGCGTGATGCCTCGTGGACTCAAAGGCCATGGAAGGGGCCTTGCCGTAAATGGAATACCACCATTTATATTGCTTAGCAGGGCATTTGACTACTTTATCTGAGGCCAAAACACACACAGAGCTAACAAGTGCTATGATTAAAATGATCACTGTTGAAATTATTATCCATATAGCTAGTCCATAATGTTTCATGTTTGTCCTATGTGTGCTGTCGCTGTGCAGTGATCTTTATTTCCAGTAAGTGTGTTTCATGTAAATGATATAGTTTTGGTGAAATGCAACCTTTTCTATAAAATGTGGGCAGCATTTTAAAGGTTTCTTTTTAACCCTCTTTTGATAAGTCAGTGTGCCATATTTAATGTTTTTCATTGGCATTTGTATGTAAAATGTATCATATAATTTTTTTTACATAGGCCAGAAACCTATTGGAATCCGGGACTTAATTAATGAAGCTTTGCGTCAAGAGAGGATGGGTCTGCAGTCCAAAGTGAAACAGATAAAGGAACTTTTATTAAAGCCTGAGACTCAGGCCAAAATTAGGAGGGAGCTTTTTGAAGGAAGATTCATTAACAACAGTAATGAAGGAAATGATGTTGATTTCAGCGCAATTTTGACGTAAGCTCTACATTGCTATCTGGTACCAGAGTTTATGAAATCTTTTCAGCTCGTTAAATAGCTCTTTGGTAAATACCACAGAAGTGTTCTGATAGAGTCTGCGCAGCAGCAAACCAACATTGGTAAGGAGTTAACCATTTCTTACCAAAGAAAACTGATTCCAAACAAACAGTATTTTAAGGGTAACTTGTCTCCTGTTGACATGATTTTTGTTGTTAAATCAAAAGAAGCATTGTTCACATGTATCTATGTATCTAATGAGACTTTGAATGTTTATTGATCACTAGTACTTGAATGAACATTTATAAATGTAATTATTGCAGTCACTGGATAAGAATATTTTATAATGTCCGTATGTATTACTTTTCAGTGATCAAAATGTAATTTGCTTTTTCATTTCTTTTTTTTTTTTTTTTTTGCGGTTCGCGGGCCTCTCACTGTTGTGGCCTCTCCCGTTGCGGAGCACAGGCTCAGCAGCCATGGCTCACGGGCCCAGCCGCTCCGCGGCATGTGGGATCTTCCCAGACCGGGGCACAAACCCGTGTCCCCTGCATCGGCAGGCGGACTGTCAACCACTGCGCCACCAGGGAAGCCCTGCTTTTTCATTTCTTAATGAATGTTTGGGATTTTTATTTTCTACTTTTCTGAAGATAAGCCCCTGGTCTTACTGTATCCCTCATAATCTGAATTTGTTTGCACTGGTTCATTTTTAAAGAAAATTCTTGAAAAGTTTCCCTCCCATACGATAATCACTGGTAACAGCTTTTTCTATAGTCAGTGTAAAATTGCTGCTACTAAGAGATCATGATGGAGGGGGAAATTATTAGAGATCAAATATGTAATCATTTCAAAGATAAAATCCAGTTTACTCATGGATTTTAGCTATTTTTTCACTGGGTAAATTATACTACATTTATTTATAAGTGAGTTTATGCATTTTCATGCCCATTAATAAATGTATTGTTTTCCCTTGTTGCCTTCCTTCATTTTTTTTTTCTCACTCTTAGAAGCTGTTGGATCTTTGTGAATATAGTGAAGTCAGAAACAGGCGCTTTGATAGTTTAGTGTTTCTTAACTTTTACGTTTTTGTCCTTCATGCTAAGATAGCACAGCTGGCAGATCACCTTTAACCTGAGACTTTTAAAGCTCTTCAAATCAGTCAGCTTCACAGAGAATTAACAACAGAACATTGAAAGCAAAGAAAATCTCAATAGCATCTCATAAACTGCTAACAGTGGGTCACTGAAGTGATATCAGTAGCAGAGATGAAGAGAGAGGGTCCATCCAGATGCAAAGACCTGGGAGCTGCTTACCAGGAGTCCCTCCTGGGGGCGGAGGGCTTTACTGTTGGTAGATGGCTTCCTTAAGTCAACCCTCGAAGTGGGAAGCAAAGATATTTGGGGGCTTGCCTTGTATTTTAAGTGAGGAAACAGTCATAAGGAGATCAAGTGCCATATCCAAGGCCATTCTGCTGCTAGGGCACAGGACCTGAACTACAACCCAGGGCTCCTCCCAGAACCTAAGTTAACAATATTTCAGGAAAAATAGCACTTCTTCTTTTTTTTTTTTTTTTTTTTGCGGTACGTGGGCCTCTCACTGTTGTGGCCTCTCCTGTTGTGGAGCACAGGCTCCGGACGCGCAGGCTCAGCGGCCATGGCTCACGGGCCCAGCCGCTCCGCGGCATGTGGGATCTTCCCGGACCGGGGCACGAACCCGCGTCCCCTGCATCGGCAGGCGGACTCTCAACCACTGCGCCACCAGGGAAGCCCCAGCACTTCTTAACATACATCTATAAACCTCTTTATCCTCAAGGAGCTACTCCAACCCTTCCCAACAATTTGAAAGGCTTAGAAAAGTATCCTTTTTGCAGTCTGAGGTTACATGCCCTACTGTTCTTTTATTTAAGAATCATACCTCCCATTTGTTAAGTACCTGGCTGTGAGCGAGGTGATTTTGGCACATTATTACATTTCTTCCCTTCAGTGACCCTGTTAGGAAGTTACTGGTTCTGTTTTACAGATTAGGAAACTAGGAAACTGGGGCTCTAAATGGTTAAATGGCTATTTATAAAGCTAATAAAAAAGTAGGGCTAAATTTAAACTTGGGTCTATTCTACTTCAAAGCCACTCTCTTTCCACAATGTGGCAGTTCCTCTCTCCACCGAGTACAAATCATTTCAAAAGTTAAGGATGTGGAACAAAGGGAAAGTCACTTTCTTTTGACCAAACCAGCTCCCTTGCAGCCCTGAAGTTCTGTGAACATAGGAGAGTGGTCAACTGGTATGGTGGAACTGGAAAAAAAATACCCAGATATTTAATTTAGGTATTAAAGATTCCAGTTTTGATCAGTGAAATCTTCATTTAATCAGGTTTACAAAAACAATGGAAAGTGTACAGTAAGATAAATCTTCCTCTTGTTTCCATTTTAAAAATCTAACTAAGACATTAATTTGCAAAAATCAAAGTTTGGGATTGGAATTACATGAAATGACTTTTTCTCCATTAGTCAAAGTCATAGAAGAATTGCTCGTTGGGTCACATAGACAGACTTTGTTGTCCTAAATTGGTGTAGTATGTTATGTAGGCTAGTCTCTGACAGGGAGGCTGCATGGTTGGTGAAAGAGCATTGTTTTGGTCCAGGGGGTGGACCTGGGCCCACCACTGACAATGATTCTGAACAAACCAATTCACTTTTTTGTATTGAAACAGTGTGGTGCCAGGTGATTTGGCCCGGTGATTTCCAAGGACCCTAGACTCTTTTTTTTTTTTTTTTTTTTTTTTTGCAGTACGCGGGCCCCTCACTGTTGTGGCCTCTCCCGTTGCGGAGCACAGGCTCCGGACGCGCAGGCTCAGCGGCCATGGCGAACCCGTGTCCCCTGCATCGGCAGGCGGACTCTCAACCACTGCGCCACCAGGGAAGCCTGACCCTAGACTCTTTGTGACTATACTTTGATACTAGTCCTGCTGATTCCATGTCTGGGACAGCTACCCATGTTTGGGGCCTTCTTGACTGGGCTGCTCTAGTGCATCTGTTGTCTACAAGAGACTTAGAATTCTAGAAAGCTCTGTCGACGTCACATAGGGAAACCTAGTGGCACATACTTACATTTATAACCAGATTCCAACATTTTCAGTCACTGGTAAAATAGTAGATCCTATATGAATAGTTTAAGGGATGTCAAAAAAGTAATATTTTCAATAGCAGGGCAAGATTCTGCCAGCTTTGAACTTGGTCCCATTTATAGCACCCTAGATCGTTATCGTATTAACCTACTTTTCAGTCTAAACTAACTATAAGCCTTTGAGATATTCTAGATTTATATCTAGAGCATACTTGAGATTCAGACTATTCACTCCAAAATCCCCAATGTGCTTCTACCTGGTCATCCCAGCAGCCAGATGTTCCCGTAGGGAGGTAATTACAGTAGTTTGACTTCACACTCTAGATGTCATTTCAGACATAAGACTAATAAGGTATGTTGGCACCTCTATACTTGATCATCAATTCATAAACTAGCTATCAGATTATGTAACAAATTAAGAATTTATTTCATTATATAATCAAAGAAAACAAACCTATAGTATCTCCAAACCTAAATTGATGAATGGATAATCTATCATCGTCCATTATTTTACCTAAATTGATGAATGGATAATCTATCATCATCCATTATTTTCATCACTTTCAAATAACAGTTTTATCATTGAACAAATTGTGGGTGCATTCCTGAATAACAGGTTTTCCAGGTAGTCATATAAAAAATAAACCCAGTGTACTTTAAAAAAAAGTTTCCAAGTCCCTACATGAGTTTGATGGCAGTACACATTCTTAACAAGACAAACCCCTGGATTATTCATTCACAGTAAAAATGAATATTAGCGCAACCCACTCTGAGTCAGTGAATTTAAAATTCTGATGCTAGCTAGAGCATTTCTTTCCTGGGTCACTATTTTGGGGATAAGAAAAAGCTAGTTTAAAAGGTAATTTGAGAGCTGACGGAAGGTGCTCTTATCAGCTCTAGTATAATATCCTCAAAACCACTTATTTGCATTCATTAAATGTAACTGATAAATTCAGGCAGTTTGGGATAATTTTAAAATGTAAACTGCAATACTTATTCCCCTGTGTAGTCCACAATTACTCATTCATTGTAAGGCCATGAAGTTCTGTTATAGCATCAGAGATAGGAGTAATAAAACTGAGAAATCGATTCATTGTTTCTGGGAAACTTATGTTGCTTTCCCTTTAGTGGTTCAAGTGACTTCTGAAAAG